CGACGACGACGCTGGGCTCGAGGGACTTCACTCGCCGGAGAAGCTGATCACGTGGGTTCGCTGGAGAGACGCTCTCGTCGGCAATCCGAGACAAAACGAATGCGAAATTGACCGCCAATGCCTCGCCGGGCTCGCACCCGAGCACGGAGCGATCGAGCTCCGTCATCCTCCAGTTCAGGACGTTGAACTTGACGGTGATGCCGAAGCGCTCGGCGAGCCTGGTGATCTTGTCGCCGATGATGTTGAGGTTGTTGACCGTGATGAGAGTGTTGAAGGGGAAAGTTGGGTCGCACACAGCGGTGATCTTAACAAACGGAGGAGATAAACGGTGACGGGACCGCTCGGCGATGGAGTTGATCAGGGAAGCGTACTGTCCGCCCTGGCCCAGGTCGAAATCGACGATGTGAATCTTGGAATAGTCTCTTGTAGCATCGAGAATGGCGAAATTGGCGGCCATTAGACCGAGCTTGAAGCAGGGAGATCCGTCGTACAGCATCTGAGTCGCCGTAATGGTGCTCAAGACGCGGCAGAGCCTCGGGCGATGGCGTGAGGGTTACCGTCCGCTCCGGCGACGGATTGCAACGCGCACGAGGCGAGGGCTGTAACCATCATGCGCTGGCCATAGCCGCTGTTCGCGGATCCCCGCGGATATTACGGGCCGCGCCGCTTCAAAGACAGGCGAGATTCGCTGGTCGAGCAGTGTCGAGTTGCCTTCGGAGATCGCGCGCTGGCGGTGTCGAGGGAGCAACTGCTTCGATGGGACGCCGGAGGGGGTTGGAGTAGAGGCACGCGCGAGGCGGGATGGAGGACGTCGAAGATGAGGCGAGGAAGTCGCCGAAGAGGGGGAGAGAGCGGTTCGCTGCGAGGCGGCAGCGGGAGCGGAGATGGGGGGACGGCGACATCGAGCTGCTGCAGTCGCTTCGACACCCAGAAGCGCTGCTGGTGCACCGCCAGCCGTGATCGCTGACGGCATCCTCCGTCGTCGTCCGAGGAGAAGCTGGCTCTCACCAGCTGGCTTGAGGCTGATTCTTGGATCGTCGACTTCTTCTCAGATTCTGCTGACGGAGGGGCAAAGGGTTTGAAAGATCTTGAGGCTTTTAAACTCTCTGGCTGGCTGCTGCTGCTGCTGCTGCTGTGGCTTTTTCTGAGGAAATTGAAATTAAATTCGCGCGACGACGTAAACGAGGAAGAGCGATGAAATGAATGCGATGGAATTATGAAGAGAGATCGCATTGGGGGAGAGGGGAGACATAGGGGAGTTGAGATGCATAGTCCGTTGCTTCACCGATCGGAGATAGAAGGCGCGTGCTGTATCCTGCTGGCATCGCCTCTCGAGCTCCGTGCAGCGGAACTGAGCGTAACAGCCGCGCCTGCTTTAAAAGACCGGCCGGCCAGCCGCCGCCGCCGCCTCCCGCTCCGCCGTCAGATCTGCTTCTGGTAGGGAATTGTAGCGGCAGACCCCGACCGCCCGTGGCCGTATGATCCGGCCGAAGGTCCACGCGGCCGGGAAGGGCCAGTCAGCCCAATGGCAATGAGATTTTCTCTTCTTTTCTCTCTCTCTCTCTCTCTCTCTCTCTCTCTCTCCCCTCTTTTTCGGTGGTTTCTCCTCTTTCTCTCGGAATCTAAGAGCTCAATCTCCCCTTCCCATGATTTTCTCACGAGTTTCTCCGTTTCAGAGCTTTTCAATTTGGGATTCTATTCCGCCGAACCCGCAATAAAAGGCATTCTTTTTTTTTTTGTTAAAGTTTTACCTCCTTGTCCTAGTAGGTTTCTTGCCCTGCTCTTACATCGCTTTTCCGTATGTATAAATTATGATTTAAATAATGATTTAATAATGAGGAGGAAGGGAAAAAAAAAGGGGAAGGTTTCTTTCCCTCCCTCCGCTCTGAACTAGTAAGAGCTCTTCAACCAATCGGTGCCTTCCGCCTGTGAGGAAACCGGCTGTTACCGGTTCAAGTGACCGGTACTTGTCGGTTTGATGGGCTCGAACTCTAAATTTCGGTAAGTGGGGGCGACGCTGGCGAGGCCCTCGCCACTCGAACCGAATTGGCCCCGGCCTACCTTTCTCTTCAAAAGGCGCCTGTCGAAAGACGTGATTACCCTCGGAATGACAATGGAATTTGGCGGAAATAGCAAGTGCATTGGGGATAGATTTGGGGATAACTGAATTGTAGGGCCTTGCGTGTGGGGATTGGGCGAAATTGGTTAGCGAACCGAACTCTCAAAGGACCTAACACCCGCTTTCTGTGAAAACGGATCCCCAGTGCCCGCCACGTGTGCACCCAGCCACAGAGAACATTCTGCTGCGGGGCGGGGCCCCCCTAAAACAGGTGACCGTGTGCTGCTCGTGCTCTTCGCTTGACGATCTCACCCCGAGGCACGCGAGAAAGCACGATGCCACGTCGGTTACCGAGATGTTGGGCTTTGCCGTTAAATCAATCGCCACCGTCCATTTGGGCTTGCTTTGCATATCCCCGCCAGCCACTTGTTCTGCTGGACTCATCCCTATTGGAGGGGTGCCGTAGTTCCTAGGCGAAATTGCACTCAACTACGATACACTTTCACTCGCTACGCATTATACACATTCACCTATTTTTTGCCTCATTTATGTACCTTACATTTTCTAAAAAAAATTCTCAATGACTCAAAATATGAGACCAACAAGGGGACGGGTGAGATGTCCCCCTCCTATTGTATAATGAGCTGATCATCATTAATGATGACCAACTCATTATGTTATATGAGGAGGACACCTCATATGCCCCTCCTATTGGTGCTATATTTTGGGTCCCTGTAACAAAATCTCTTCTTTAAAATTAGCAATTTAGTACATTCTGGTATGTAATCATAAAAATAGTTCAGCAAAGTTATTAAACATAAAAACTTTAAAAGTTTTAGAATTAGCATGCGATGTCATATGGAATTATTGAGGTAAAAAATTTTCAAATTTTCATAACACAAGGCATTAATTAATGTGCCCAATCGTAGCTTAATTTGTATAAATGCTTCAAAAACAAGTGAATATATGTAATCACAAATTGAGTGCATGAAATTTAAGTAATATTTAGCCTATTTCAAGAGATACCGAGCCTTGGGTCAGCTCGAAATGGGAGAAAGTGTCAATGGTTCCAATGCCTTGTATATATTAAGGGTGCACCTATATAAATGGTTTACCTTATTATATGTGAACAAAGTTTCCTAGCTCAATAATCTAGCATAGATATTCTTTTTACTAAATGATTAATACGATGAATTAAGACCGTTGCATATTTTCTGTGATAGTAACTTTTTTTAAGGATAATTGTATTCATCCAATTCTCCCTCCTCATTGTGTACCGCCACCTAAGCAATACACTCAGTCCAATGGAAGATTAAGATATTACCTTTCTTGAACGATACGTAGGTAACCACAAAATTGTTTGCTGTGTGTACAATTAGACTTTAGCTCCACATATGTTGCATAGATAGTATAGCAAGTTGAGGAGGAAACTTGCCAAAAGTATGAAAGCATGGAGATATTTGTTAATCACATTACAACTAGCATTGAATTTGTTGCTCCTCTTTCGCACTGTTAACTTACACAATACACATAGTTATTCTTCCAAAAAGGATAAAGAAAACGAAGCGAAAAGAAATGGATATGAAGATGTCCACACGAGCTAGGTCACCAATAATAGATTGATTCGGAGATAAATACGAACACAATTGTGGACCATTACTTTAATTTCGTCTGAAAACCCTCCAACTTTCAAGATGTATGTACCCGAATCCTGACATTTGAGTTTATTTTAGTGTACAGTAGAAGATTGCTGGCATAACATCTATTAAGTATTGAATTCTTATTGTTCTTCGGAAGTGTATACTAGATTATGATTCAGTTTTATCATATAGAACGGAGTTAACAGTTAAAATAAATAGCTCGAGGAGTTGGTAAACAAATGGCGACGAGAGAAATTCCATTTCACTGGAGGGGTGTTATTCGTTCCGGATTGTTAATTTGAACTCGGGTACTTGTCCATGAATCCAACATTCTTGGATTGGGACTTGGATTCAGATTTTACGATTAAAACCCCGAACTCTTAGATTGGATTTTAAAATTTTTTTGAATAGAATTCTTGGAATTTTTGTTTGATTCTTGAACTTTTTCTTTGAATTTATAGATGTTTGCGTCAGGAATAAGTTTCATTGCAGCTTCCATTACAATCGTTTATCGTTACAATGGAAACAAAAGAGCGAGCCTTACACTTGTAAAACTCCTCTCTACAAAGAAAACAAAATTTGAGATATTCCCTAGAAATACACGCAGAAACTATTTATTAGCCTCTGCTTGTGTGAGATCTTGTCCTGTGCCGGGAACGCTTTGATCCGTGGACCACTGATTCAACGATCTAAGTTGATCGTGAAGAAGGCTTGATGTTGATGTTTCGACTTGTAAACAAGAACAGAAGTAGATATCTTAGCAATGTAAGATAAATACTCTTTACAACATGAAATCAAGGTTTGATAATGAGGAAAAACCGAAGGATCTTGCGATTGCTTGAAAACGGTGAAAGACTCTCTCTCTCTCTCTCTCTCTCTCTCTCTCTCTCTCTCTCTCTCTCTCTCTCTCTCTCTCTCTCTCTCTCTCTCTCTCTCGTGCTCAAAGTTCGTCAAAAATATCAAGTCTCCGCTCTCAGATCTGCTTTCTCTCTCAGTACGTCGTGCACTAGGGTGTTAAGAGGGTATTTATAGCCTTTAGAAACCGTAACTGAAGATAAGAAGTTAAAACAAACCCTAACCAACAACCCCTTTGGGAGAGACAGTGTTTGCTGTCTCGGCCAAAGGGAGTTCGTGTCTGAATTACGATTGAACTCCCAAAGGAACTTTTTGGCATAGAATTATCATGTGCCTAATTTTAACAAAATTATTGAAGCGTTGTCGGGCGTTGACTTCTGTTCCGGTGTAAACACAGTTTATACTCATACGTAGTTGGAGTCTACACAGTTTAAGCTCTTAAGGCGTTAGAGCGTGGACAAGCAGTTTATACTCATATATTCCTTAGAGTTTAGGGATTAGTTTAACCTCATATACCTATCGAAGGTTCAAGGAGAAGTAGTTTATGATCATGTATTCATCGGAGTGTAGATACGTACCTGATATACGCCAAAAATACCAAAAAATGCATTTTTGGAGGCTTGTCAAGTCAACCCTTCGCGCGAGATAGGGTAAAGTGTCCCACGTGAGCGAGACAGTTTAACCTGTCTCGCAGGCCGAGACACGTTAGCGTGTCTCGCTCAAAAGGTTGGGGGTCGTTTGCTTGTTTTTTATCTAGATTTTAGCGATTTTCTCGTAACTTCCCCGCTCTCACAGTTGAAAAGCCTGCCTTCTAGAACCCTATAAAAAGATTTCCCAAGCCTCCTTCATCTATGTTTCTTTGATTTTGGTCGAATTCCTCTTTGAATAACCTAGGGTTTTGGTGCTCTCTTCTCGGGTTTAAGCTCTTACTGTGGTTCTTTCTTCACCAAAGCTTGGTTCTTCTTGATTCTTGGCATGAAGCTACACCAAAGGCTCTTAATTTCGGGTTCCTTCAAGTCTTTATCCGAATTTCATCCCAAAAGTCTAACCCTTTCTCGGTATTGGATTCTTTTCTTCGTTTTCTTTGTGTAAACCGTTCAAGCTTCATCTTCCTTTTGTTCTTGACAGGAACCGACGTCAACCTCTCGTGCTTTGACGATTCTCGAGTTTTCTTCGCGATTTCCCCTCAAGCCCTAGATTTCCCTCGAGGTATAATCTCCTTACTTGTATTTCTCGCTTCCCTAAACCTATTTCCACTTGATTTTGGATGATACTCGAACCTTAAGACTCAGGTAATGGATTGGTTTAATGTGTTGTGTTTGGAATTTTGATTGAAACCCTAACTTTTACGTGTAGGTTTATCGATCAAATCCCTCTTTTGACGATGTCTCCTATGAGGTCACGCATCCCGAGGAGTAGATCAGCTTCTCAGCCAGTCGAGAGAGAGGCTCCCGCTCCTACATCTTTCGGAGGCGAGATTTCTTTTTTTTTGTCAATTTAAAAATTAGAATTTTATACGTGTATCCTCGTTTGTTCTTCTTTGCGAGGCATTCGGGAAGAGCCGGTATGCTCTTTTGCGGGGATCGATGCTTAGTAGACGTGTTTTGCTTGGCCAATACACATTCAAAGGTAAAGAAATGAGTTATACACCATCTCTTAACCTACGAGGCAATGTGCACTACCTCGTAGTTTCCGAGATAGTGTATGATGTCTCGCATGGCGAGATAGTTGAGACTATATTGGAAGCTACGAGACAATGTCCTTGTCTCGTAATTGTTGCGTGATCAATTTTAACTCTTTCTTTTGCCATAAAATTGTTCTTCAACTGTCTCCGAAAAATCCTTTTTGTCCATCGCAATTGACTTCTTTGCCATTGACATTTTCTCTTCGTTCGGAGTGTGGTTGAAATATATTGTCTCGTTGTTTGCGGAAAGATGCACACTGTCTCTCATATATGAAATAGTTGTGATCGTATCGCAAATCACAAGGCAATGACTCTATCTCGTGAATTTGTGAAATAAGTTCAACTCCTTGTTTTGCCTTAGAAAATTTCTTCTTTAATTGTGTTCAATAAATCTCCTTTTATTTATCGTAGTTGATTTCCCGTCAGCAGTGTTTTCCCCTCGTGCGATGAGTGGGCAAAGCAACGTCGTCTACACCTCTGCTGATGGGACACCCTTTCATGATGAGGCCCCTCAATTTGACATAAACTGGCCTGAAGAGATCCCTAGGCTTGTGCGTGAGGGAAGTCGTCGTACACTATGGTGATTAATCACGGACGTGCCACTCACAAAGAACTTGGACACAACCCAGCCTTTAAGAAAGCCAAATTTCTTGTTTGGTGATTCCGTCAAGGATCCTGAGATTCTTATTTGCAGCCCTGAGCAATGGCTGAATGAATATGATGGGAACCGCGGATTCCTCCCTCCAATTCCTCGTCACTACTCTCTGACACATTTGAGGAAGCAGGTCGTGACCCGGGAGATGTTGTGGTGTCTAACTGAAGATTAGGAGCGGATGCATTATTTTATCAGCCAAAGCAAGACCCCAGGCTCCATCGATAGGAATTACATTTGTAGGCTTCATCTAGGTGTGTTGGGTCAAGATGAAGTGTCACAGAATGAGCTGCCGACTAGGGCTGCCACTGTGAAGAACTATCTTGCAAGGTTGGGCAAGGGAGTTGCCCATCAAGGGGTTCAGGTTTTATGGTTGGGTGCATCGTCATCAGATAAGTGGTGGACAAGGATGACGAGTTACATACTCGGGCGATGGGGCATGGAACGAATTGAGAAGGGGTTATATATCCCTATCCATGCCAGTATGTATGGCCTCCCTATTAGCGTGAACCACTTCTTCACGTTGCTCGAGACCTACAATCTGGACACTAACACTTTCCTCATCAAGAATGGAGAATTGAGACTGCCTCTTCACGAGTTGATGAAGGTCTTA